ACCTTTGTTGGCAAAGTAATGTCTCTGCTTTGTAATATGCTATCTAGGTTGGTCATAACTTTCCTTCCAAGGAGTAAGCGTTTTTTAATTTCATGACTGCAGTCACCAACTGCAGTGATTTTGAAGCCCCAAAAAATGAAATCTGGCATTGTTTCCCCATCTATTTCCCATGAAGTGATGGGACCAGATGCCATGATCTTAGTTTTCTGAATGTTGAGCTTTAAGCCAACTTTTTCACTCTCCTCTTTCATTTTTATCAAGAGGCTTTTTAGTTCCTCTTCACTTTCTGCCATAAAGATGGTATCATCTGCATATCTGAGGTTATTGATATTTCTCCCGGTAATCTGGATTCCAGCTTGTGCTTCTTCCAGCCCAGTGTTTCTCATGATGTACTCTGCGTATAAGTTAAATAAGCAGGGTGACAATATACAGCCTTGACGTACTTCTTTTCCTATTTGGAACCAGTCTGTTGTTCCATGTCCAGTTCTAACTGTTTCTTCCTGACCTGCATATAGGTTTCTCAAGAAGCAGGTCAGGTAGTCTGGTATTCCCATCTTTTGAAGAATTTTCTACAGTTTATTGTGATCCACACAGTCAAAGGCTTTGGCATAGTCAATAAAGCAGAAATAGATGTTTTTCTGAAACTCTCTTGCTTTTTGGATGATTTAGCGGATGTTGGCAATTTGATCTCTGGTTCCTCTGCCTTTTCTAAATCAGCTTGAACATCTGGAAGTTCACGGTTCACGTATTGCTTAAGCCTGGCTTGGAGAATTTTGAGCATTACTTTACTAGCGTGTGAGATGAGTGCAATTGTCAGGTAATTTGAGCATTCTTTGGCAGTGCCTTTCTTTGGGATTGGAATGAAAACTGACCTTTTGCAGTCCTGTGGCCACTGCTGAGTTTTCCAAATTTGCTGGCACATTGAGTGCAGCACTTTCACAGCATCATCTTTTAGGATTTGAAATAGCTCAACTGGAATTCTATCACCTCCACTAGCTTTGTTCATAGTGATGTTTTCTAAGGCCCACTTGACTTCACATTCCAGGATGTCTGGCTCTAGGTGAGTGATCACACCATCGCGATTATCTGGGTCTTGAAGATCTTTTTTGTATAGTTCTTCTGTGCATTCTTGCCACCTCTTCTTAATATCTTCTGCTTCTGTTAGGTCTATACCATTTCTGTCCTTTATCAAACCCATCTTTGCATGAAATATTCCCTTGGTATCTCTAATTTTCTTGAAGAGATCCCTAGTCTTTCCCCTCTGTTGTTTTCGTCTATTTCTTTGCATTGATCGCTGAGGAAGGCTTTCTTATCTCTCCTTGCTATTCTTTGGAGCTCTGTATTCAAATGGGAATATCTTTCCTTTTCTCCTTTGCTTTTCACATCTCTTCTTTCTGAATTAAATTCTTCCATTCATATTACCTAATGTTGGTGAGTGTATCAAGAAATGTTAGTTGCAATGCAAACTAGAATATTTCTTGAGGTGACTGTTCATGTATCTACAATTTTAAAACTTATGTATTTTTGACCAACCAGAGCTCAATTTTAGTCCGATGTCCTAAGACAATTATCAAATACACATTATCTAGAAAATCAGTGGAACATTGTTTATAAGCAAAACTGGAAGCAAAATAATAAATTATTTATTAGTAAATAATTTAATACATTATGATATAATCTAACAGAATGTGGTACTTTATTAAAGTAAAAAAAGCATATTTATATGTTTTAATATGAAATATATAAGGAATTTATTTCCAGCAGATTTTTTAAAAGCATGCTTGTAGAGAGTAACTATAGTATGGTCTGTTTCCATTGTAATATCAAGATAATTAAGGAGTGTATTATGCCAGCAGGAAAATGAATTTAGTCATAGAGCACGGAGACTATGTGTGCTTCCCCTGCAGTGATAGAGAGCAGCCTCTGATGCTCCTTACTGATGAAGAGCTGGACGAGTGCACTGACTAGATCCATAACTACTACCTCGTACCTCGTTATTCTCTCCAGTGACGATACCTCATTTTGCATGGCAGCTGTGACTGGGGCTACCACTTGGCGAAATTTATGAAGCTCAACATCATCTGCCACTATCTATTTAATTTTTGCAGAGCCCAACAAACGTATTGATTGAAGATGTAATGGATACCACTACCCCTATGTCTTTAATGGTGGCATTTATCCCCACATTTCCTTTTGGGATGTGTTATTGCTTCTGATTTATAATATTGATGAGTGAAGGAAGTTTCAGGGACTTCACACTTCTTTTCAGGTCAGAGTTACTGCATTTACAGTTACGATGGGGTAAGAGAATACTAAGAGGCACCCAGGTGGATCCCTTATATTCCTTCTCACATTCATTTTGCAGAAACAGTATTATGTCCTCCTGGTGGTTACAATAAATTACTCCCCCAAAAGATAATGATTTCTCTTGGTTCCCAGACTCAGTTCAGTTCAGTCGCTCAGTCATGTCTGACTCTTTGCGACCCCATGGACCGCAGCACACCAGGCCTCCCTGTCCATCACCAACTCCCGGAGTTTACCCAAACTCATGTCTGTTGAGTCGATGATGCCATCCAACCATCTCATCCTCTGTTATCCCCTTCTCCTCCTGCCTTCAATCTTTCTCAGCATCAGGGTCTTTTCAAATGAGTTCAGTTCTTTGCATCAGGTGGCCAAAGTATTGGAATTAGACACAAGGAATACAAAATATTCTGGTGGCCATCATAGCTTATAGTTCAATGGGAACTTTATTGTGTCCACTTGCAAGATGGCACCAGTTATGGAAACGAGGATCACTACTCCTGCAGAGCCTAGAGTTGTGGGAATGGTAAATAGCAAGGTTAAATCACTTGATCCCATGGTAATGGTCTCACTCTCATACTTTCTTTACTATGAAGTTTATGCCCTGTTTGGATGTTGTGATGTATAGGACTACCTAATTGTGGATTATGCATTCCATAAGACCTCAGACACTGTTGTTGGCTAAGACTCTGAGGGCAAGAAAAGCAAGCACACACTTGGAACTGGTAACTGTCTTCATGAGGATGAACTTCTGACCGTACCAAATAGAAGAGAAACAATTTAATCTACTTGCCGCTATACCAAAGGCTGAGTGATGGTTTCTGTTCTTGGTAGGTTGGACAGTTAGAAGCAGCAGCATTAGACAGATCTAGGAATATTGGAGTCCTTCCTATTGGGCCCATATAGCCCATATATCATGCCATTTCTGAGGAGCTTATGATGAAAGCAGTCTAATCTTTTTTTTTGGTGTTTAGTGTGCGTTCCACGATGCCTGCTTTCTGGTTTTACAGAAATCTTTACATGCTTTGCCAGTTCCTGTTTGTCTGTTCGTTTTCTCTCCTAGCCTTCTTTATCACTGATCTTTCAGCCTTCTTTCAAGTGCCTGCTCAGATGGCCATGTATCACTGGCCACTTCCCAAGAGTATATATTCTTACTCACATTTATTCTTCCACAATGTCTTTTACATGAATGAATGCTAAGAGGGTTTAGTGAGTATCCTGCAATGAAGCATTCTAGAGCATCAGGACAGAAACTCAGAGTTCCAGCTATGGAGCTAAGGAAAGGAACTTCTTGATTTGATCTGATCAAATCTTTCCAAAGTTCACAGAACTTGTAATTGCTCCAGTAGCTGGAATAAAAGGTGGGGTTGTGAGTGTATGAAGTAGTACACAAGAAGTGTCCTGACAAATCACATGGAACAGCCAATACCAAAGAGTAAACTGAAGTTTTATAATGCAAATGGGTGGGTTACAGTCCATAGGGTCACAAAGAGTTGGACACGACTGAAGTGACTTAGCACTGGAGTATAATGCAAATGCCTTTCTGAACAATTATAACTCGCCATTATTAACCAAACTTAAAATTAACGGCCATGGCTAGTTTAGTTTGCTGAGAATAACGCCCTGTTAATGAAATCTAGATAAGATGCTAAGTGAGAAAAGGAGAGCAGGGTATATATGAAAAGAGCATATGCTGGGGGAAGACAACAAGTAATGGCCTTCATCAATATGAAGATCATTTTGCTTGATTTATTTGTCACTGATTGTGGCCACCGTTTTTTTATGGCTCATGTGTTTTTTGTGTATGGTTGTTTTTTGTGTATTGCTGTTTTTTGTGTAAGGTTGATATGGAGATTTGATGTTAAAACAGGTACAAAATCTTTGAAAGAGTTAGAATTGCAATTCAAGTTTTTATCCTGGGAGCATTAATTTTTTTAATGTCGCTGTTAAAGAGAAATGGATGAGGTCTCCAAGAATTAGTTAATTCATAAAGTAACCCTTAAATAGCCCAGAGTGGCTTGCATTTCCACCTTGCTCAGAGAGTCATCTAATCGATGTGAGAATGTCAGGGTTTTCAGAAAGTTTGAGGGGATGGGTCTTGACAACGACTTCCAGACTTGCCACAGTGTGAATGGGATCATGTAAGTGAATTGACAGTTTTCGCTGGGTTTGGAGAAAATCTTTCCATTATTTTGCTCTGCCTAGGGATGTCATAATTCCCATATCATTTAGGTCACACTGCTTCACAGAAATTCAGTTAATTAATTGTGATTGGTTGGGACTTGAGCATTCAGTAGAATTTGCATTTTCTTGGCATTTAGAAGACAGTATCAGTATGGGTTCCTTGGGCTTTGTAAAGAGAGAAGAAATACCTCAGAGGGCCTCAGAGTTTCAATGGATGTTCACCTAAACTGGTTCTACATATATGTCCCTTTATCAAGCAAGTTTTCCAGTCAAAATACTGTCAGAGATTTTTTATGGTGTATATGAAAGAAAATAGTGCTCCATGAAGATGATAACAAGTGTTTCTCTGAGAAAAGCACATGAATGGTCCCTTAAGGGGGTTGGACAGATTCAGGATTTGATACCATTGCCTCTTTGTATGAACAGCTTACAGAAATTTGGCACAACCACGCAAAGAAAACGTGATTGGGCTGACCTCTGTGAAGTGACCTTTATTAGCGGTACAGCTTTATACAATGCAACATTATTCGTGCTGCACTGGGCCAGTTCACAGGTGACTGGGGCCATGTTCCCTTCTGAAAGCTGGTGTGAGGTAGAGGCAGTCGCTACGTGGGGGCTTCAAGCAGTAGGGATCTGTCCTGTATCCTGCTTGCTTGGTCTTTTAGATTTTATACCATCATTGGAAACCCAGATCATGTGGTTATTCAATTTATAAAAAAAATTATAAATAATATAGTTTACTGGAATGCACTTTGCATTTTGTGAGGGAATACACTATAAACAGGCAAGGTTTCATTTGCTGCAGATTCAAGCCCTCATTGCTTTTTCCTGCTCTTTTGTACACGTACCATGCAGAACCTAACACCAGGAAAGGACAGAGAGCAGTTAAGTACAAATAATCTTTGTGTTTTACAGTACATTTATATACATGCTTTTGTTGAAATTTTCCTATAAACAAGATAGAGTTCAGTACTTTGTGTCATTACAGAGTCCATTATCCTCTCAAATATTGAGCATGGAACTAATTTTCTTTTATCAGGTGGGCCAGTTGTGAAACAAATGATGTCATTAGATTCATTTGTTCAGATGTGCTTGATGAGTAATAAGAAGGTGTTAAATTGAGTTCAATGGGAAGATTACTAGGAAGGTTGACTCTTTGTCGTGACCTGGAGGTTGTTTGCTTTCAGTCATCTTGTTCTGGCAGAGTAGTGTAAAGGCCTCTATTTCTGTAGAGTAAAATATTCATACTTAAATAGTGCCAGAGACTTCTAGAAAGACATTTCTCTTGTTAGCCATTCAATACTCCAAATAAACAGCATTTGCAACTAAATTTTGATAAGAATAAAGAAATTTTAGAAAAGCAGCTGTTTTGTGTCCTCTACATATTATTTTATTCAATGATGTTTTAAAAAGAGCATTAAACTCATCTACTGCTTTAAGTATATTTCTCCAAATATTTTGGGTTGGGAAAAAAAGATAGGTTTTTAACAAGAATTATATATTTTTAAATTCACACGGGGATTATTAAAAATGAAAGTGAATTTGTTTCATCCAATTTAGTTATATATTAGAAGTAGCTTTGGGAGATGAGAAAAATGTTATTAGTGTCATTAATTTTACTCCTTAATAATGTTTGATTGATACTCATGTGATAATAATGAAAGCTCTAAGTATATACTACATCTTATTCTCAAAGGATCCAGGAAAAATTAACCATGAAGTCCTCCTGATGTTTTTGGAAGGCCAGTGATGTTCCGGGGCTTCCCTGGTGGCTCAGATGATAAAGAATCCCAGGAGACCTGGGATCGATCCCTAGGTTGGGAAGATCCCCTGGAGAAGGGAAAGGCTACCCACTCCAGTATTCTGGCCTGGAGAATTATGTGGACAGAGGAGCTTGGCAGGCTAGTCCATAGGGTCACACAGAGTCGGACATGACTGAGTGACTTTCACTTTCACTGATGTTCTGAGTTTTTAACTTTATTAGAAATTGATCTTTAAAGAGAAGTAAATTGCTAGATATAGATTATTTTGTAACAAACAGTCAAAATCAGTCATAAAAGACCTAATAACATTGTAATTATTTATTAATAACTAGAACTCCAAGCTATTAGTAGGTTGATGTGAAAAGTAATAGGAATTTAGTGTGTGTTGGGGGAGTGACATGCCAGTTATCAGTGAATTGCCTCTCGGCTCTCAGCTTAACCTTCATCACCCTGCTTGTGGTTCTGATTTCTCTCTGGTAAGCTGGCCCAGTGTTCAGCGATGCCAGTTGAGGCAGCAGGAGGGACACATCACGAGGAGGAGAGTTCTACTCTTGCTGCTGCGATCTGCTTCCCCCTGGCTCCTGTGATACTAGACCGGCATGCAGAGCAGCCAGTGGAAGAAGCATCTTGGGGGAAGCCTTCCTGCAGGTTCCTCAGGCCTGGTACCTGGTTTCCTGGTCACCATCCTACACGGGCATTTTTCCTGAGTTCCTCAGGATGCCGTCCCCTACTTTCTTCCTCAAGGTGATTTCCAGGAGTTCCAGGGGTGCCCCACATAACTTTCTGATAATTTCAGCATCTTCTGCTTCCCACCCTGGCAGGAAGTTTTAGCAAAATTCTGCGGGAGTCCAACAAGCTCCCTAGTGAGTTTAACAAGCGAACTTCATTAATATCATTGGGAGGTTCAACTCCTAGCCTCAGATGAGTGACAGTGGACTAGCTCTGGTGCTGAGGAATGCCATGAATTTTTCCCAACTCCAGTGTGCTTCATTCACACTCTCTGAAACAACCAAACTCCAACCTGGGAAGGGGCCCGTTTCCAAGTTTGTTTTACTCTTGGTACTCTCTCTTAGCTCTAGTATATTCTTTAGAGTTTTCTTCTTATCCCCTTGAGTAGCTAATTACCTATAAGTAGTTTATATTTCTTCATATAAGACTTCCTCTGTTCAAATTACTGTGTGGTTTCTGTCTCTTGATTAAACCCTGACTGATAAGAGGTTAAAGAGAATTTAGTGGTAATTATGGTAGTTCACTGAAAGCTTCACTAAGGATATGATTTAATCATTTTGTTGGAAGAATTCTTCTATTTCTTAGTGGAAAGGTACTATTTGGAAACATGCCTACACTTATAAATACTTTTAAAAACTAGGGGGAGCTAGATATGTTTCAACCAGTAAACTTGGTTATTTTTCCAAATTTGCTGGTATACCGAGTACAGCACTTTCACAGCATCGTCTGTTAGGATTTGAAAGAGCTCAGCTGGAATTCCGTCTTTTCCGCTAGCTTTGATCATAGTGATGCTTCCCAAGGAACTTGGCTTCGCACACCAGGATGTCTGGCTCTAGATGAGTGATCACACCACCATGGTTATCTGGGTCATTAAGACCTTTTGTGTATATTTCTTCTCTATATTCTTGCCGCCTCTTCTTAATATCTTGTGCTTCTGTTAGGTCCTTGCCGTTTCTGTTCTTTACTGTGCTCATCTTTGCATGAAGTGTTCCCGTGGTGTCTCTAATTTTCTTGAAAAGATCTCTAGTCTTTCCCATTCTATTGTTCTCCTCTTTTCCTTTGCATTGATCAATGAGGAAGGCTTTCTTATTTCCTTACTATTCTTTGGAACTCTGCATTCAGAGTTTCTCCTTTGCCTTTAGCTTCTCTTCTTTTCTCAGGCCTTTCTCTTGCAAGGCCTCCTCAGGCAAGCAATTTGCCTGTTTGCCTTTCTATTTGGGGGATGGTCTTGATCACTGCCTCCTGTACAATGTCATGAACCTCCATCCATAGTTCTTCAGGCACTCTGTCTATCAGATATAATCCCTTGAAACTATTTGTAACTTCCACTGTATTATCGTAAGGGATTTGATTAAGGTCATACCTGAATGGTCTAGTGGTTTTCCCTACTTTCTTTAGTTTAACTCTGAATTTTTAGTTAGAACCAGACATGGATCAAAGGACTGGTTCCAAATTGGAAAATGAGTACATCAAGGCTTTATACTGTCACCCTATTTTATTTAACTTATACACAGAGTACACCATGTAAAATGCCAGGCTGGATGAAGCACAAGCTGGAATCAAGATTGCTGGGTGAAAGATCAGTAAAATCAGATATGCAGATAACACTACCCTTATGGCAGAAAGCAAAGAGGAACTAAAGAACTCTTGATGAAAGTGAAAGAGGAGAGTGAAAAAGTTGGCTTAAAACTCAACATTCAGGAAACTAAGATCATGGCATCTGGTCCCATCACTTCATGCCAAATAGATGGGGAAACAGTGACCAACTTTATTTTCTTGGGCTCCAAAATCACTGCAGATGGTGACTGCAGCCATGAAATTAAGAGACACTTGCTCCTTGGAAGAAAAGCTATGACCACCCTCAACAGCATATTAATAAGCAGAAACATTACTTTGCCAACAAAGGTCCATCTAGTCAAAGTTATATATTTTCCAGTCATGTATGGATGTGAGAGTTGGATCATAAAGAAAACTGAGCACCAAAGAATTGATGCTTTTGAACTGGGATGTTGGAGAAGACTCTTGAGAGTCCCTTGGACAGCAAGGAAATCAAACCAGTCAATCCTAAAGGAAACCAGTCCTGAATATTCATTGGAAGGATAGATGGTGAAGCTGATGCTCTAATACTTTGGCCATTTGATGCAAAGAACTGACTCATTGGAAAAGACCCTGATGCTAGGAAAGATTGAAGGCAGGAAAAGGGGACGACAGAGGATGAGATGGTTGCATGGTATTACCGACTTGATGGACATGAGTTTGAGTAAGCTCTGGGAGTTAGTGATGTATGGGGAAGCCTGGTGTGTTGCGGACCATGGGGTCACAAAGAGTCGGACACCACTGAGCAATAGAACTGACTGAAATTTGGTGATTTTACCATGATTGAAATTTTATTTTTTTGTTTTCCCACTATTCATTACTGTATTCTCCTGTTTTCCCCTTCTAATATTTAATGTAAATCTTATTTATATTTTGATTACTTTGTATATATAAGTATCACTTGCCTTTAAATGTAACAAATACTCTGCAATAAATGCATTTTTCTCCTGAAAGGAAGACATATTTGTATTTCCAAAAGTATATTCTTGATACTGTTAAAAAAAAAATACCCCCTAATATATATGCTTTGAAAACTTGAGGCTTTTTCTATGCAATTATGCTGAAAAGTTTTTCCTAATTTGCAGTCACTTGCCCATTTAATATTAAAATTATTTTGGTAAAACAAAATGTGAGTGGTTCTCTCAGTTCATTTTAGTAATACTTATTTTGTTAAATGTCCAATGATCTAGATTCTAAATAATAAAACGAGAGTAAAGATATGCTGAACATCTGGTTACTGAAATCCAAAATTAATTCTGAGCACATGTGTATTATGTAGAGAAACTGATTAAATGATGGCTGCTTTGTCTCCTTTCTCTGCTGTATTTTATTTTCATGTATCTCTGATCCAGGTACGTGGACTATAGTCACAATAGCATTAGGTCATGTCTGTACCCACATGAAGCTGCAGATGTCACACTGCCCACATCACAGCATTCAAGGTCTATCTATTATATTTCAGTCT